TTCTGTTCACGTTGATGATTAAAATTATTATTTGACAGTACATTACAGAAGTTATTTGTTGAAACGTTTCTAAAGTACTTTTATTTTACTTTATTTGTGAAACAAATGGTTGAGACTGTAAAATGGTTTGTTCGTTCTTTCTCTTCTTTTTCTGAGTATTTAATTGTAAAAAAAATAAAGATTTCTACTTCACGGATTTTGCCTTATCACGGGTTCTTTTTGGAACGTAACCCCTGCGAAAAACAAGGGTTTACTGTATTACATATAATCAAAATTACAAATAAATCTAGTGTGAACTGTAAATGTGAAATTTTGCTAATAGGACGCTAACACGTACGGAACGCTTAATTAACAGTAACTGAATCAAGAATATTGAGTAAAGATTTTTGTACCAGGCCAACAGTCACTGCTGATGACCTCACACTATGCAACTTCTCTGTTGTTTAGTTTGACCAACAATGTGTAACTAAAGGTTTAGCAGCGTCCACGTCCAGGCACATAAACCATGTATTTGGCCAAAGGTTGATGGTCTGAAGTATCTGGTTCTTACCAAGTGTTTTTGATTAGCTGCAGAAACAGAAACCAGCACAAACATCGGACTTTGATTAAAAAAACAGACCTTAGTGAAAGCGGATCATCTCGTCATTAACAGCTCCATCCAGATTTGTACGACGTTGTGTCATAGTGAAGCACCGTCCAAACACATACTTGACATTCAAATGTCGACAGCTCGGCTGTGTGTCTGTGTTTGTGTTGCTATGTTGTGTAGATGTGTGTGTACCGCAGTGGGATACCTATGACGGAGGAGGATGAGGGAATCGGAGCAAAGGCCTGAAGTTGGCTGACTGGTCCGGGATGGAGTGTGGGAGGGATTCCTCTTTGGCAAAGACCCTCCTCCGTCCTACCTGACCTTTTGATTTAGGAAGACAAGTTGACTCCATGTGTTTGCCGCAGTAGATGGACTTGTTGGCTGAAAGAGGGAGCACTTTAAATCCAGTCATGTAAAAGCACAACGGTTCTGGCAGTGGACGGCTCCTCACTTTCATGTAAAGATAAAAATGAAAGCAAAGGTTAAATTCCCAAGGTTTACGACGTTTCAGAGCGGCGTCCAATCATGCTCCTGTGCCACTTTACCTCAGCTAGCATCTGTGTACATTACTGAAAGACAGCACTAAGTTAGCATTGTTTTGCTGTTAGCAATCAAGTAAATGTTCCTCATGTTCAGAAATCGTGACTTACTGTTTCAAAAGCAACAAGTTGTGACTTCTTACTGTTTGAAAAGCAACATGTTTTTTAAAGAATTGAACCAGGAAACAAAATACCTCCTTCTTTAAATACAGTGCTGTTCATTAATGCCTCTGTGCCTGTGCAAACATGACGCATATTTATGACAGAATTATGTGACTTCTTACTGTTTGAAAAGCAACTTTTTTTTTTTAAGAATTGAACCAGGAAACAAAATTCCTCCTTCTTTAAATGCAGTGCTGCTGTTCATTAATGCCTCTGTGCCTGTGCAAACATGACGCATATTTATGACAGAATTAGACAGTGACCCGACAAAAACACTTGGTTGGTTGTTGTCAGAGAACTCTCCAAACTAGCTGATTGATTAAGCTCCAGAAAACGGTCATAATTAGTCAGTAAATTTACTCAAGAGGTGAGTAAAAAAAAAAGGTATTTTGTTTGGGTGTGGACTGAAGTTAGCTTCATACTGCAACATATGTCCAACCTGCGTGCAAAAGTCTTGTACTCTAGCCTTTGAGTTTCCTCCCTGGACATTTTCCACTTGGAAAAAGTGTGTCGTTCTTTAGCTTATTTTAGTCTGAATCCACCTCTGCCCTTTATAAGGCATGTTGCTGTGAAGAAACCTCGGGGTCTTCACATCTTTTATTTTACAGCTCCCATGGTTTCCATGAAAGTCTGCTTAAATAGACCTTTTCTTACGCTGTGTGTTTGCTTTGCAAATGTTCTTCCAGCATGAAGAATCCATACCATACTGCTGAGGGTTTTTAAAATTTAGTGTGTGGAGAATCAATGTCCTGCACTTTGTCTTGTTCCCAGCCAATGCCAAGCTGTTTCCCTCCCAAAGCTTTAAATAACAATAAAAAAATAAATAAAAAAACCCTGTACAGGCGTTTTCATCAGTCATGTCGTCTTTGCTCTTTAACCCTGGTTCAACAAGCTCACCTTTGTTTTTCTTTCTAATTTCTCTACTTTTGACAGTGAAGTCATTCCACGACCAGGTGTCCGGCCAGACACGGGTGTTTAAACCCCTTTAATTAGATTTGGGGGGGGTGGGGGGGGTGTCATCATGTATGTGAGGGTTTGACTGCATATGTGGGAGAGTACACTTTAAAAACAGCACTCGTCACCACAGGTGGCTAATCCGTCACAGAGAGCACGAGAAGTCGGAGGAACACCCAGACATGAGAACCTAGATCCTAAAGATAGCCTCGGTCAGAGTGCTGTCCTCTACAGGAAGTCCGTCTAATTACAAGTTAACCCCTGACTGAGAGTGAGGGTCACAGTGGAGAGGTTTTAATTGACCGATCCTAAAACCCAACTGTCCGGTCCGGACCTCACCCAGACTTAGACGTAATGTTTGGAAGTCCTATAAGTTGAGCAGGGATTACTCCTGTCTCTCCACGTGTCGCTTCAAAGCCGACAGGTTGGTGTAATGGTGAAGACATGTGTTGGTCGGACCCAGAGGCCGGCTGTTGCCGGATGTCTGCTGTGGTGGTCTCCAGGGTTCAGGGCCAGGGCGAGGTCAAACATGGGAGTCAGGTGTGAGATGGAATCATTAAAACATCAGACATGTCGTACAGTTCCACCACATTTGGAAGAGCTCCGTTGGTTAAAAGTCAGTTTGAATATTGTCATGAGACACGGGTCGGGGAACTGCCTCGGAGTCGGTTGGGTCAATGGTTTGATTTCCGCTTCTTCTCGTGAGAGTGACATTTAAGCCATTTTTATTCAGACAGTATACGTGATAAAAATGTGTTGTGTACGGGAGCGGTCAATGAGTCGTGAATACATCAACGTGTTTCTCTAACTCTGATAGTAAACGCATTGAAGAACCAAGAACCAGGTTCTCAGCCAGAACTAAGACTTTTTGAGAACGACAAGAAAAACCCTGGTGTTTCTGTAAGGATTAGGTTAATCATTCACTCTTCATTGCTATGGTCAATGAAGAGTGAATGATTAACCTAATCCTTGTGTGAATGTAGCTGTGAATGGTTGGGAATGATTGGCCCAGTGATTGCTCCAGTTCCCCCAAGACCCAGAAAAAAATGAAGTGATTGACGATGAATAATGAATGAATATTTAAATTTGTATTTGACTTTTATTAAAGAAATGATTGGTGCAGCATTTGCCTTCGAAAAATATGAACGTCATTTCAAAACCTGTTTTTAGTCGAGACGATGCAGGCACTTTGAGATGAAGAAGTCGACCACAGAGGTTGGGAACTTATTGATCCCCTTTCCAAAAGTTTCCCAAAGATCAATTTGCATAATTCTACGCAGCTTCTCCTCTTCCAGCAGTAGCGTCAGGGCTTCCATTTCAGCCGCGTGCCAGTGTTTCCCTTGGCGAGACACTTCATACCATATTGGTCATCATATTCCAGCCACAGGAGGAGGCAACGGTCTGTTGTCCTCCCAGTGCCAGACACAAGCCTGGACAGATCTTTCTGGGTTCAGTCAGATTGGATACAAGGCCCAAAAATACAGAAACTGGGGTTCAGCCACTTCAGGCAACTGCTGCCATACGACACAGCTGAGAGTGATTCATTTCCTTCACTTGACTTTAACGTTTGTCAGAATGTTGGCTGACATTGTGAGCAATGGCCTTTTACTGCAGTTTGACTGTAGGTCAGTACCTACAGTCAAACTGCAGTGGACTTGTACCTGCAGGGTTCTGGCCACATACAGTACCTGTCTCTTACAAAACTTTAGACTTTTTTCTCTTTTTCTTTGCTGTCATACAACATCAGCTCATTCATAAGAGTTCCTCGGACCTGGATGGAACAGTCTGTATCTTTCCTTTGGAAGGCGGCCTTATCTCTCCCCTGCTCCCGCCCTCTCTCCAAGAGCAATATTCTGCTTTTCTGCAAAAGAATTTTCATTAGTTTTCTCACAAAATTTAAAATGGCTCAGATGAGAGCTCTGACTGCAGCCTTAGAGAGGAGACTGTTGGCCAGAGGAGCCTGATAACACCGGGCCTCCAGGATCCTGGCTCACCTTCAAGGCCTCCAGATCTAAAGTGCCACAGGAGGAAGTGGGGGGGGGGCAGAACGCTACTTTAAACAAGCACCGTAAACGGCACCAAATGATTGTGTAGACCAGTGTGAAACTGCAGACAGTGGCAGTTCTCCAGAACACAGCGGAGAGGTTTCCCTTCTGTGGGTTTTGCCAGGAGACTGTTGTAAGATTTTTTTTATTATATTTTTTTTTTTTTTTTTTGCTACAGCGTTAGATCAGATTTGATGAATATTAGTGTGAGTGTGTGTTAAAAAATAAAGGATGTGAGACAGATGAGACAAAATGGGTCAAAGGTCACTGCAGAACCTCAGTCTTTTTCTAGATGCCACCTGTCAGTTTCCTCCCTCTGAACTCCTGGTTTTGCCATACCACCTCCGGGTTCCCCAGTTGGTCAGAGACCCCACTGGGAGATCCGTCTTTTTCTGCACTGGACCAGATCTGAAGGCATGAATCGTTCTGACAGATGCTCCTCTTCTTCAGAGCACTCTGGAAATCATAACAGGCAACGCTACGCCGTGCGGTGTTTGGACAAGTGCAGATGTATAGGCCTGCGTTATGGCCCATTATTGTGATAACAGAAAGGCCCTTAGCTCGTATATAATAATAATTATGACACGTAGCGTTGCCTTCACGCAGATCTGGGGACGTGCTCAGTGCATATATGTCATCCTTATGTGTCACAGTTCATTTGAAACCTCTGGAGCGTCCACGACTTACCTCATGTCTCATCTATTCCCTCAGGTCTCGGCCACAGACGAGGATCGTGGATCTTTTGGAGCCATAGCCTACACTCTGGGCTCCGCCTCCGGAGGCCTGGCACCGACATACTTCACCCTGGACAAAGAGACGGGCCAGCTGTGCACTAACGCAGCTCTGGACCGGGATGAAGGACTGGACAAGTTTCACCTGAGTGTTACTGCGACAGATGGAGTAAGAACCTGTTTCTAACAGATTTAATACTGAATCACTGAATGGAAATACTGGCCGACATTTTCTTTTTAGTGATTAAACTAACCGGGTTTTCCTGGCATTGAGAGGTCAAAGGTTGTGGGAAGGTTAAGAGGTTAAATCTCCTTGAACATATATAGATCCGGGCGGTCAAACTGATTTTGGAAGAGGTTAAATCTCCTTGAACATATATCAAACTGATTTTGATTCATGGACCACATACAGCCTGATGAGCCGGACCATCGTAACCTAATTATCTATAACTAACTGTAAGTCCATGTTTTTACCCTTTGTTTTTATGCAAATTAGTACAACTATATTAGAGAAAAAAAGTTAGATCTAATGAAGTATTTTGACAAAACATCACTAACCATTTAGTATTTTTTTTACTTTCAACATTCATCAAGCGGACCGTATTGAACCTCTTGAGCCCGTGTTGGACGTCGGGTAACTGGAAACCTAACAGGGACACGTTCAGTCACAGCTAAACTGTAATTTTAAACAAAATCAAAGTGTTGGAACTGTTAGTGGTCCAGTGATTAAATACGTGGGTCGATGACTGTGTCAAGTGACATCTGATGAAATCTACTGATCTCAGATCAGATTAAAGACGTGTGCAGCTGCAGGGGAATAAATCTGATCAAAGGGACTTTTTCGGTGCATGTTTGTAGAAGATGGGATTAAGTGTCTCCAAAAGAGTCAAACCCGAAATGATGGCAGCAGCAGCGGCAGCAGCAGCAGCAGCAGCAATATGGCAAAGCCATCAGAGAAAGACCAAACAAGAGCGGCGAGAGAGAGAGCAAAGGAAGAAAAAGTCAAAGACTTGGAGCAGCAGAAACATTTAAATTACCTTTTTACTACAGGGTGATATCATTTATTTGCCCTCCATGACCACAATCACCGTCTCTTTATTCTGGAATCGACCCAGACAGACTTACGTGTATTTAAAGAATCGATGAATCACGACCGATGCCCCTTAAAAAAAGGAACCGAAAACCCCAAAGAGGGCCAATAAAACAATAACTCTCAGGTGTGTCGTTGGGTTTCATGAAGAAATGGATACACGGCCTTTGCACCGCGTGGATCATTATTAGCTCTCCTCATGACACTCCTCGTTCCTCCTGCCACCATGTCCTCCTTCTGAGGTAAGGATTGGATTTAGGGTCTAGAATTTACCAACCGAACCCCAACATTCATCATCATCTCCAGCAGAAACCCGGCACATTCCCAGGTCCGTCCAGCTGGTGTCTGTTCCCCTGGTCTACGCTGTCCCTGTTTTTAATGGTCCTGTAAAACTCAAGTCCACGGACACGCTGTAATGAGCGCAAACTCTTGGACTCGCTGACAAATGCGTGCGGCGCTCGGCCGACTCCATATGTGCTGGATCTTCTGCAGAAAACTCATCTGTCTCCCATTTTTACAGCTGCTTCTTCTTTACGGTGTGACATAAATCTGCTGTCACACTTTCATCAAGTTTTTCATTCGGTCCTGGTCCGTCGCTGTCGGCTAGGGATGGAGAGGATGTTGGATGTTGTCTGCGTGGATGTGTAACGACAACGAGAGGGAATGAGGAGTTGATTAATGATTTCCTCGCTGGATTAGACTCAGTAGAGTGAAGAGCAAAGGGTTAAATCTGTCATCAAATATACAGCGTGACGGGAGATCGAACGATCCAAAGTATATTATATTAAATTATATTATAATTTGTATATAATTATATTATATAGTATATTATAATAGGCTAGAGTATTACAGCGCAGAGTGCAGTGTTTTGGAACTGTTCGGAAAAAATTACATTTCTCGCCACTCCACACTGCCCCTTGAGGCAGGAAAAATGTAGCTGACATTTCAATTGCAACTATTACAGATAGATTTCTATAGTACGATCTCACAGCCACTTGTACCAGGACAAGCAGAGAAACTACAGGTAGAGGGCGGTGTTACTGCAGATGTACTGTCAGGCAGCTGTATCACTTTTGTTCCTGTTTGTTCGTCACATTTACATTTTCTGACCCCTCTTCCCCTCCCTCCCCTCCCCCAGGGTGGTCTGAGCTCAGTGGCCCGTGTGCAGGTGTCAGTGGTGGATATAAATGACAACCGGCCGACCTTCTACCCAGTTCTCTACACAGTCAGTCTCAGTGCCCACAGTGCACCAGGAACCTCCGTCGTCAAGGTAACAGCCAATGACCCAGATGCTGGTGAGAACGGCAGGGTGACCTATCGCACAGTGCCAGGAGGCGGGTCCAACTACTTCACCCTCAACAAAGACACAGGTGTGTGGGGGGTGAGGGGAGACGGAGGGGAGGGGGGGGCAGTTTATTGTACTGCTTTATTTAGTGCATTAAGTTAAAAGTTGTGAAAATAATGCAGAAAAATTAAATTTAAATTTGCCAATAATTGAACTAAACACAACAGCTGTAACGAACCTCTGAGGTTAGCCAAGAACTTTGCAAGGTCTGCTCATAAAAAGCAGAATAAAAAAAAGTTCTTCACAAAAAAAATCTAAAAAAAAAAAAAAAAAAAGCTACCTTGGAGGAGACATGTCCTTGAAACTGTTTTGTCAGTTCTATTTTCTCCCTCCGTTTCTGTCTGCAGGAGTCATCTCTCTCTCCCGCTCCCTCCACGGTAAAGCCAACACAGTCATCTCCATGGTCATATCAGCCCAAGATGGCGGCGGTTTGACGGCGCCGGTCAACGCCAGGGTGAACGTGAGCGTGGTGGGAGGCTCGGTGGCGTCGCCCGTGTTTGAACAGGCTCAGTATTTCTTCACCGTGTCCGAGGACGTCCTCAGAGGGACGGCGGTCGGAGTGGTGCGAGCTGCGACCAGGACGGGTGAGTGATTAACGTCCTGGACTTCGGCGGATTCCTCCGTGTAACTTACCTGTTTCCATCTTTCCGACATGCGCTGGGACAGAAATGCACTAATGGTCTGGCGGAGTGCGCGGTGTCCTACTCCTCACTGCGGGACTTGTACAAATACGCTTCCAAGCAGAGTCCATTAGGGGAGCTCATTTATCACACAGCAGGAGCATTACATCAGACCGTGTCTAAACTCTGCCCGGACTTTTATTTTCTGCCGTTAGAAACAGTTTTGGATGAAGCTCCAGTGTGTTTGTGAGTGGGAGTTAAAGAACAGGGCTTTCAGTCCAGACTCCAGCGAACACACACACACACACCTTCATTAACACTTGTGTGGGGATTAAGCTGAAACCAACAGACCAGCGTCTGCTCAGTGTTGTCCTGGTGATATTTTTTATCTCCTCTGTTTCTGCTGCAGACTTTTTAATCATTTATTTATTTCAAACTTAAATTATCTTGACGGACTAAAATCCACCAACTCTATGAAGATTTCTCCTTATTAGTAATTCCATTGTTTGGATTAGTGACAAATAAAAACAGGTGTGAAACCTATACATCTTGTTCCATCAAAATACAGAAAAAAAATCTTTTTTGTCCATATTTAGGAACACATTTGGATTAATTAGATCAGAACTACTCTAATCAATTAATCAGGAATATTCCACAGTTACATCGTGATTAATCAGATGAAATATTTCACTTGTTTGACATTGTTAAATTTTAAAATTATTTTGTCTTTTGTCAAAATGGAATTAACATTTGAAGGAACTACATCTCCTTAAACAGGGCAAAGAAACAGATTTTGATCTCAAGGTTTTCTTCTAACCTTAGGCAGTGTATAATAAGAACTGTGAAGGGTTAAAGGATTTTGGTCAATTTTTTTCTTTCTACTTTCTAAACCATAAACTTTCTGTTCTACAGGTGTGTCCAAAGATATCTTCTACTCCATCTCCTCTGGAGACCCTGAAGGTTTCTTCACGGTGGACGCTGCGTCTGGCGTCATTCGTACGGCTCTCCCTCTGGACCACGAGACATGTTCCAGTCTTGATCTGGAAATCCAGGCCCGCTCTGGTTCGCCGCCGGCGTACGGTACCGCACGAATACACATCACCATGTCAGACGTCAACGACAACGCACCCGTTTTCCTTCCCACATCATCGGAATCCCTGCTGTTACCTGAGGTCACCAAAATGGGAGCCGTCATCTACCGCATCCAAGCCACCGACAAGGACTCGGGCCACAATGGTCAGCTCAGCTTCGACCTGGTCTCTGCGGGATCTGCCGGCAGCAGCGGCCAGAGGACGTTTGGCGTGGACCGAGGTAGTGGTGAGGTGCGTCTGATTGGCGGGCTCTCCTACGAAACTGTCCCACGCTACGACCTCCAGGTGGTTGCCAAAGACGGAGGAGTGCCTCAGCTCAGCTCCACCTTCACCCTCGTGGTCCACATCCAGGCACAGGATGCCCAAGGCCCCCACTTCGACACACTCACTTATCGCGTGGAGTTGAGAGAAAACACTCCGCTCAACACTCGCTTCCTCCAGGTCCGAGCGCTTAACAGAGAAGGATCTGGGACCGGTAGGAGCTCCTCCTCGTCCTCGTCCTCCTCCTCATCATCATCCACTCCCTCCTCTATTTCCTACCGTCTGAGGCCTGACGGAGATGCTGCAGGTTTCGGCATCATGCCCGATAGCGGTTGGCTCTTTGTCCGCAGCTCTCTGGACAGAGAAGTCAAGGACATGTATCTGCTGACTGTCCTGGCGACCTCAGGTCCAGGAGGAGCAGGAAGAACTGGAAGTGCCACAGTGAGGGTGACGGTGACCGACGAGAACGACAACTCCCCCAGGCTGAGCCAGGAGAGGGTGTTCCTGGCCGTCAGGGAGAATCTGATGGCCGGGACAGGCTTCGGCAGGGTGTCTGCCACGGACAGGGACGCCGGACTGAACGCCAGACTCACCTACAGACTGCTGCACGCGGACAAACACTTTCAGATCAACTCACAGACGGGTGAGTTTGTCATTTGAAGTCAAACCTTTAGTTAAATGAAACATTTCCAGCTCTGAACTAAAGTCGACCTCATTTGTTTCATTCAGGTGAAATCAGCACCCGTTTTGCCCTGGACAGGGAGCAACAGTCCAGTTACCAGCTGGTCGTGGTCGTCCAGGACGGAGGGACGCCTCCACGTAGTGCAACTGGTACAGCTCATATCTCTGTACTGGATGAGAACGACCACCCGCCCAGCTTCACTCATGCCAGGCCGGACCGAGAGCTGCTTCTGGAGGTGAGAACTTTGTTTCATTTCTGGCTAAATTTCCTAAGGTGAGAACTTTGTTTCATTTCTGGCTAGATTTTTTTTTGTATGATATTTTGGATAAGGATTTTTAGCAACAAGCTAATTTGGATTTTTTTTTTATTAATTAATTTCTCTTGCAAATATAATCTTTTACCCCAGCAGCAGCAGCAGCTAATTCTTAAAGCTTTTGGTTTTGCTCTGACTCATTTTATACAATGGATTTTAGGCATGTTTTTTCAAAAGAAAGTTATTTTTTCTGGAAACACAAGAACTTCTATTAATAGTGACCTTTCCTAATTGCAGGTCTCCGAGGGACTTCCATCTGGAACGGTCGTAGGAACACTGATGGCCAAAGACCCGGACGAAGGAGAGAATGGAACTGTTTATTACTCTCTCTCAGGTCGGGGGTCTTCACTCTTTACATTTTCATTACTATTTTCTCTGATTTTTTTTCTGTTTATTATTCTGCTGAGATGACACCTTTTAATCCCACCGTTTCTGTCGTCTGAAGGCCCCAGAGCCGAGCGCTTCTCCCTGAACCCCACCAGTGGGGAGCTGAGAACCGCGGCCCCTCTCAGATGGTTGGAGCGAGCTGAGTACATGTTTACCGTGACTGCGGCTGACCACGGAACACCAGGCCTCAGCTCCACCTGCCAGCTACGGATACAGGTAAACCATAATCCGTGCATTGTGTTATTTCTGGAAAAAACGCGGAACCAAGATGTTGAGAGAGAACGCCACAGAAAACCAGAGAGTGTCGCAAATGACCTCAGCCGCTGCTGCAAGTAATTTCCTCTGACTGTGAGATTTTAGAGGAATTGGAAAAGGAGCCGAGTGTGAGGGGAGAAACTGAGCCTTTCTGTGCAAACATCACAATCTTTACAATCTGGTGTTTGTTTCCTGCCCTGAGGGGTTCACGGGACAATCAAAAAGCCAAGGTGAGAAACCTCAGTCCGCAGGAGGGAGTGTGCTGCAGTTGACTTATTGTTCTGAACCCTCTGTTGAAGGGTCAATCTTCTGCATCAGTCTACGAGACCATCAGGAATTCACAAACAGGAAGCAAAAAATGTTCTGCCACAGAGGCGTGGAGCCGTTTTTCTCCGTCTGTCGGCTCGCTGTTTTTTTTTTTTTTTATGCGATGTGATCAGAGAAAGGAAAAGGAACTTAATTACAGTTGGAGCGCTCGCTCCACATACTGCCCGCTTGTGCCACACTGAGATTAGACAGAGCAGGGGGAGGGGGGAGGGGTGTTCTCGAAAAATCAAACGCTCCCAGATGAGACGTGATGAGAGCCAGGTGCATCGAATGACAAGAAGAGAGAAAGAAGACGTCGTGGCACGGTAGCAGCCGCTGATATTTACTTACTTTACTCTAATACTGAACACAAGCTTCTCCACTATAGGCTAGAAATTTTTTGTTTGTTGACTGTTTAAAAAATATAAATAAATATATATATATATATATAAAATACATGAATCAAAGTGAGGAGACAAATTTATGAGGATTCTGACGTTCGACTGGACGAGCTTCGGTTTCCTCCCAGTCGTCTCTCTCCTCTTACTGGTGAATCCCCATTACATCATGAAATGAACCATGTTTTTAAACCATGTACTTTCGCCTCAAAAGATGCAATACATCGCAAGAGAACCAAAGAATCAAAGGATGATGTCATCGGTGTGATCATTAAGTTCTGCTTGTGTTTGTTGAATTTCGACTCTGGCCAAGGTTTGTTGGCACGGAGTGATTCCTGTACTTACTCCACTGCATTGTCTAAACTGTGGTATTTACAGCCCCCCCTGCTGTCACACCCACTGTTTGGTCCCAGATCACTAACCCTGACTCTTATCTCCAAGCCAAAAAAAGGACCACAGCGTCAGGATGTTTAATGGACGACTGGGATGTAAAATGCGAATGCCTGCAGGAGTTATTCTAGCAATCAGAACCGATGCAGACTCCAGACCGAGGTTATGTTCAGGGAGGGTCTGTGGTTGGGGGGGGGCGGGGGAGGAGATATCCTGTAACATAGAAGTTGAAAAATGAGTTTGAAATCTTTTTAAAAATGTCAGTGTGATTCAACAATAATTTTTTTTTTCAGGTTTCAAGTACCTCCAGGTCCAGCCCCAAGACCAACACGCTCTCCATGATCCTGAACATCATCGAAGGGGCGGCTCCCGGCTCCATCATTGGCTCTTTACGTCCACATGACAAGCCCGACACAGCGGTGCTGGAAGGACAGGTGACCTACCTGGTGGTGGGGGGGACGGACCGGGACGGAACCTTCATGGTGGACCGACTGAAGGGAGATGTTTATCTGGTGCGCGAGCTGGACTATGAGAAGGGCTCCAGGTACACGCTGCATGTGGAGGTGTCGGACTTCTCTCAGGAGTTTCCCAGCAGCCACCTGGTGCAGCTGGACATCCATGTGCAGGACAGCAACGATCACGCTCCTCAGTTCATGGAAGACCCCGTTACCATCGTGATCCCAGAGAACATAGAACCTGGAGCCTCCATATATACTTTCCAGGCCTTGGACAAGGTAGGAAACCTCTGGTTCAAAAGTTGTTTTGATAACTTGCTAACAGCAAAATATATCATTTTGGACGTTCTTCGTTCTTACAGGACGGCAGTGGACCCAACAGTGATGTCCGTTACTCCGTCGAACACCACTGGCCTGACACGCCCGACCTGCTCTTCTTGGACAGTTCCACCGGAGTCCTGACCCTGGGACAGAAGTTGGATCGCGAGTCGACCCCTTCGCTCTTCCTGGTGGTGCGGGCCACGGATCAGGCCGTGGATCCTTCTCAGAGACGCTGGGGTTCCGTCACAGCCAGGATCTTCGTGACAGATGAGAACGACAACGCTCCAGTCTTCAGCTCTCCCTCCGCCGTCAGCGTCATGGAGGACCAGCCTGTGGGGTGAGGAACCAGGGGTTGTTTTTGTGCAAACGATGCATAATTTAACTTTTATGCAAAGTTGCAAAGTTATGCAACTTTTTTTTTTTACTTTAACTTCTACGTCTGACGATCTTGTTTGTATTTCCCCACAGCTTTGTGATTTTGTACGTAATGGCCCGAGATGAGGACGAGGGTGAAAATGGACGGGTGTCGTACAGGATCCAGGCAGGAAACGGCGCCGGACGCTTCACTCTGAACCCCAACACTGGTGAGTTTATACTTAGATTTGAAAAAAAAAAAAAAAAAAACTCTTTCTAAAAATAATGTAACAAACACATTGAACAGGAGTTTTCCACTGGGCTCTGGTTCAGGGTCCATCAGGGGACAACTGGAGTAATATGTTCCACATCAGTTCTTGCGTTTCTAATTTTGCCAGATTAAGTGATTGATATTCAACATCCCGCACGTGAAAGTCCGGTGAAGGAGCAGACCTTTCCTTGAGATCCAAATTACCTTCTTAATTACTTGGTCTAGTGGACCACCGCTGCTAGAACTCTCTTCTCTGAATGATCCTCCAGGGGGACAGAGTGATATTTGGTCTTCTGTTCCTCAGTGGATTTTCATGGGAAGAGTCCAGCCTTTGAAACCTTAACCGTGTGTGTGTGTGTGTGTGATCTCCTCGTCATCGCAGCAGTGGGGAGGTGTAGGCGGGCTCAGCTGTGGCGGAGACAGGATTAGGAGTCGTTTGAAAGGCGGTTAATGCAGCTTCCAGATGGAAGCGGCGTCTTTACTTCATTACTGTCAAGTGTCTGCTGCGTTTTAGAGGGAGTTGATTTCACCCGCTCCGTGACTCAGACTGTGTGGTGCTCGTGTCTGAGGCACTATGGGTAATCACGGCAGATTAGCCTCATGATGCCAGACATTAACCAAACTGCTGGCGATGTCGTTACCCTGCACACATGTCATCCCTGCTCTGGTACTGTTGCATCTCAGTTATTCCAGATTACAGTGTTTTTACCGGTGGTTTTTACTGACTGGTTTTAAGACGATCTTTAAAATTGGTTGCAAATCCTGGATTATCTCCAACAGTAAAAACTTTTTTTTTTGTTTTTTTTTCAGTGTCAAAATGGATAAATAATCATAATTATTTATGAAATAAAACATATTTTCATTTGATGTGAAATATTTTATACCCAGTGCAGTTGGACTGGACTCTGAACCATGTTTCACATTTAAAAGAATAACCTGAAGGGAATATCTGGCAGGAATTAACTCTTATTTTGCTCAGTGTGGAACAAAAGTCTCATAAAGCAAATCTGGAAATGTTTTGTTGTTGTTGTTTTTACTGATCCCTGAGGTGAAACTACTGCCAGTCATAAGTACTCAGAATGATATGTTCATAAAACCAATCTAAACAGAAACACACCTTCACCACTAACAGAAGTTTTCAGGTCTTCACTCACGCTGTTCCCATCGTTTTTTTGCTTTTTTTTCACAGGCTCTTTGTCAGTCCTTAAACCTTTGGACCGAGAAGAACAGGAAGTCTTCAATCTGACCATTGTGGCGGAGGATCATGGGATACCTCAGCTGTCCACCTCCCAGGTGCTTTGTGTGCAGGTTATTGATGTGAACGATGAAGCTCCGGTGTTCCAGTCCTCAGAGTTCCAGACCCAGGTGTTGGAAAACCAAGGACCAGGAACGACAGTGTTGACAGTGACGGCTACTGATCGGGATCAAGGTTCGATTCTGATTTCTTTTTTCATACTGAGGATGCCAGTGATGGATTTACTGTCCTAGAAAAAGTCCCAGTTCATCATTGTTTACTGTCCTAGGAAAAAGTCCCAGTTTGTACTATGTTTGTTACTGTCCTAGGAAAAAGTCCCAGTTTCCCACCTACAACTTAGTTCATCATTGTTCTGTCATGGCAATTTAATTGCACACTTGTTGCATATTTAAGTGCTTAGTTTGTAATTTAAATACTGTTGGGCTATTGGGCTGTTGCTAAAAAATGCTAACTTTTAGCTATATTCTTAGCAAGGTTGTACTATGTTTGTACTTTAAGGTTTTTTCTGGGCAGTTCCAAGGCACTGCTGGAATGACTTTTATATTTTTTCTTAGCTATTCCGATTTTTTGTTGTTCTTTGGTTTATGTTCGCAAGTTTTTTTCATTAGGCTTCATACTGTATGTCTTTGGTAAGTAGCTACACGTCCACCCGGGGGCCTCAGGAGCCTCCTTCATAAGATTTTAAGGGACACTTTACTGCTTTAAATAATGCCTTTTCAATATTGTTCTACTTTAATAAATCGACTTATTTATATGGACTATATAACGGAATCTCACGTAAAGACATTTGGAGAAATGCTATAAGTCAGGAAGAAATAACTGCATCTGCTTTACCGTTATTTCTGACCCTATAATCCCATTTAGTGCCTCTGATGAATCCCAGGAACATTTTAAAGCTACTATACGTCCTGCGTCTCCAGCAGCAGTAGCTGGGGACCCAAACAGAAGCAGGGCAGCAACCGTAGGAGAAACCACACAATTTAAGAGCAGACCACAAACTCCTGCTAATGAAAATGTGTGGTTACACTCGTGTCCAAGGCTTTATGTTCCTGCGGATTTAATTAGAATTTCTCTAAAAGTAAAAAACGGCCTCAGGATGGATTAATCGCTTCTTTTTCAAACCGCTTGTTACTTAGTGCGTGTCCAGATGTTTTTAAATGGTTTGGCTGCTTCTGTGTTCAAACGCAGGCTCGAACGGTCACGTGATGTACGGAGGAGTGACAGAGGAAGGCTTCGTCATCAACCCCATCACGGGAGTCATCACCACCACCAAGGAGCTGGACGCCGAGCGGCAGGACCACTACACCCTGACTGGTACTGGGATACGTCATTATCTTTTATTTGCAGCGTATAAATAAACCTCAGGCTCATTTGTTTTCATGGAGTAAATCAATTCAGGTCCAACTCGTAATCAACAGTAATAATTCCCATGTCCTACCAGTGTACGCCAGGGACGGAGGGCTGCCTCCCAACTTTGCCAAGGCCGTGGTTCGTGTAGAAGTGCAGGATGTGAACGACAACGCCCCGGTCTTTTCAAAGTCCTGGTACCGACTGGAGGTGCCGGAGAACCAGGCTGCTGTAGAGCTCTGCTTCCTCAAGGCTACAGACCCCGACTCGGGTCTGGGTGGAGAGCTGGAGTACAGGATTGCTGGTGAGAAGCTAAATAATTAGCTAGCCAAAATTACTGCAATTGCACGTTTATCCCAATTGAAGTAATTGTTAACAGCAGTTAACACTTTTGGAGATGGCTGAACAGAACTGACGACGGCCAGACTTAAAAAAACGTGCAGTGTGTAGAACTAATGCATTGTTCTAAACAAGTCTAGTCCCCATAAAAGCTAATGGTTAGCAAATAACAAAAAAAAAAATTAAATATCGATTGGTTAACAGATCTATAGCATAAAACAGCTAAAGGTTAGCAATTACTGCAAAGTAAACTGGAGAGCTAAAAGGTAGCATAACAACAGCAAAAAGCTAAATTGTTGTAGCTGAATAGTTGGGATGATAGTTCCAACAGTTGATGGAAAAATTAGCTTACCTTGTTAGCTTATTAATAGCACTGTTAGAAATATAATTTGTAAAATATACCTGAAAATCTACAACAAAACTTAAAAGTTTTAGCCTGTAAATGGCTAAACACTAACTTAGCAGATATGTAGCAACGTTGCTAAAGATTTACCTTCAACTAGCTTCATTTGGCTCAAAAATCAATTTACCTTCAACTAGCTTCATTTGGCTTAAAAATTTCTAAGCCAGTTCTAAGCCAAAGACTCTTTAACTTTGAACTTCCGGTTTTCGCCTCTTTTGTTCAGGAGGAGATTTCCGAGGAGACTTCCATCTTGACCTCAGCACGGGGGCTCTGTCTACCTCACGGAGCCTGGACAGGGAGACGAAGGCGGAGTACAACCTGGAGGTGGTGGCGACGGACCGCGGCAGCCCTGCTCTCAGCACCACGGCCACTGTGGAGGTGGTGGTGCTGGACGTCAACGACAACAGCCCTGTTTTCAGCAAAGCCAGTTACTCAGTGGACGTGTCAGAGGACGCTAAAGAGGGAACAAAGGTTCTGGAGGTAAGTTGAAAATAGACTGAAGAGTCTGTCGTCCCTGATCTTGTTAAGGTGGGAAAAAAAACAAGGTCTTCATCAGCTGATGTCCTGATGTTAAGCTGGTTAGAAGGAAAAAAATCACTTGACTTGGAGCAGACAAAGCTGTACGCAGTGACCTTGAACGTCCACATGGCGGTATCCAACAGGCTTATCAATGTTACCCATTCATAGGCAATAATACAATACTAATAATAGCCGTTACTAAAAGCCCAGAAATCCCAGGAAAACTGTAGAAAACAAGCTTAAATTAGGTTGGCTAAAAACAAGTGAAAGTGAATACTAAAGTGAGCTAAGTTAGCCAAAAAAAAGCTAAATTTAGATAAGGGAACGTTGGCAGAGAAATAGTGACTAAACGTGGTTTGTGTTCCAGGTCTCTGCCACCGATCCTGACGAGGGACAGAATGGGAAAGTCCTGTATTTCCTCAGCAGGGAGACTCACGGAGCGTTCACTGTGGATGAAAACACCGGAGTCATCACCACAGCAGCTCCTCTGGACAGAGAGAAGTGGGCGTCCTACACCTTCCAGGTGTTCGCTGTAGATCTGTCTCCTGCTGCGCCCAGGAACACATCTGCTCAGGTACAGAAGGTTTGAATCTCCAAAGTTTAACCTTGTTTATCCGTGGTTACAATTCCACTTTAACGGAGTTCCTTCTCGCAGGTGACGGTCACGGTTCTGGACGTCAACGACAACGCTCCATTTTTCCTCCAGGATCCTCTGGTCATCGAGGTGTCCAGCAGCAAGTCTCAGCGAGTCCTGGCCACCATGAAGGCGGAGGATAAGGACTTTGGAGCCAACGGTTCGGTCTTTTATCGTTTCGCCATGCCGGTGAAGGGTTTCAGCATCAACTCCCTAACCGGGGAGATCCAGGCTACTCAGCCGCTAGAAGACCTGAGCCAAGCTCAGAGGACGCTGATTGTGGAGGCCATGGACCAGGGCAGTCCAGCTCCTCAGTCAGCACAGGGTGTGGTGGTCATCTATGTCAAGGAGGTGCCTTACAGCGGCATACGGTTTTCTAGAAACGCCAGAGACGTCAGCATTCAGGAGAACGCCGTAAGAGGTGAGACTCCTCCCTGACTCCAGTCATCTGGTCTGTCGTGGGCTTTAAACTGCATTAAATTTCATCCTTTTTTTCCTCCAAATTCAGGAACAACTGTGGCTCAAGCTCAGGCTCAACACCCAGACGGTTCACGTGAAGGTATCAGCTACAGCCTGTTCAGTGGGAACAGGAAACAGTCCTTCAGCATCAGTTCCTCGTCAGGTAAGAACAAGCAATTTTACACAAGACAACATTTGTACCAGGGGACATTAAATGGACACATTCGTAGACGATAACATCTGTCTTAGAACTTTTTGACTCACCCCTCGTAAGTCAGTTCCACTGGTTCCCATCTTCTCAAACTTTTCCTCCAGGTGAAATTCGAGTGGCGAGCTCCACGGGTTTGGATTTTGAAGACACGCCCAGGCTCCGCCTAGTGGTGAAGGCTGAAACTGTGTCTTCTACGTCCTTCATGGCTATTAACTTGAACCTGCAGGATGTCAACGACAACCTTCCTCGGTTCCAGCTGCAGAATTACATAGCCTACATGAGAGAAGCTCAGGGATATGAAACACCGATCATACAGGTACGGCTAACCTTTAGACACGTTAAGGGCTAGGTAACCTTTGCTGATTAGCTATATTTCTCATGTAGCATATAGGCTAAAGCGCACACACTTTTACCTTATCTTGTACATCTGACTTAAGAATGGTTAAAAATCCCAATAAAAATGTGTTTGTCAAGCTCCCAAATAAGAAGAATTTCTGTATTTTTTTCCTCTACTATTCACCCAGGTGGTGGCTGAGGATGTTGATCAGGGCCAAAATGGTCAGGTGACCTACTCCATCCAGTCGTCGGGTGTGAGCGGCCTCTTCAAGATTGACCCGATGACAGGAAGCATCACCACAGCAGCCATCATGGACCGTGAAATCTTTACCCAGACCAAGTGAGAACAGTGCGCTGGTTAAACAAACCTCAGCAGTTAGTTTTTATGTGCACATGTCCAGGACGGACGTACACAGTCGTCCACTTTTAAATCACTGTTCAACTGTAAATGAACAAGAAAAGTCCAGTATATTTACACCTTAAAAAAAAGGAAGAAAAAAAAAATTCGATTTAACACGTAATGAATCATATTCACTCAGCACGTGTGTGTTTGGACAGCTGTCCTGGAGGCTGACATCGTCTCCTGATGACATGAGCACCATCACACGCTCATATCTCCAAAGCAGATGTATGGAATCTCACATTAAAGCGTTTCATCCAAATGGAAAGTGAAGCTAAGAGCTTCCTTGGATGTTGTTTTTACTATTATCAACAGTGAAAATGTAGTAAACTGAATCATGAAGAGGCTTAATGGAAAACTTTTTTTTTTCTTCTTCCCCACTCACAGGTTAGTGATTACAGCAACAGACAGAGGAAGTCCGAGGCTAGCTGGATCGGCCACGTTGACAGTGATCATCATTGACCAGAACGACAACAGTCCCACTATTCCCCTGCCAAAGGAAGTCCGCATTCCAGAGAGTGAGTGATTTTCAGTAATTTTGTGCTTTTTGGTTGAGTTGTTTTTTTTTAGTGCTTGGCAGCTTTAAGTTTAAAAGTTTTTTTTTTTTAGTGCTTGGCAGATTTAAGTTTAAAAAGAATTGCATAACTTTCTGTGATTAATCAGTGTGTGTCACATTTTTGTGTACATCTGTTTTTATTTAGAACTTTAAAAAAAATTAATTTTGCTATAAAACAGAAGATTAATAACATTCAGATTTGAAGCATTAAAATAGAAAAGGTTTTTATTAAAGTCATTGGCAGTGGTTATTGCAGTACTTGGTTGTACTGAGTACACTTTCTCTTTGAAGGTGAGTGTTTAAATGAATCAGTCCAAGTTGAATTTATCTCTCTCCATTTTATTGGCCTTGCACTGCAGTAGTTTTAGATCAACACTTGATCCTCTGATTGGTTGAGACGAGTGGTGGACACCAGTCCAGTGGGAATTAAACAAAAGTAAAAAATAGTAATAAATGTCTAATGAAATGCTAAATTTTCTGGACCTGGATATTGTGTAGCTGTGCTAATAGTTAATGTGCTAACACCATAATAATGTTAGCTGTTGTATTTTTATTCATTTTTCATTCATTAAGAAATGCTAAGCTACGTTACAATAGAAACAGTGAACTGACCAGCGTCTGTCTCCGTCTCCGTCTCCGTCTCCCAGATACACTGATTGGATCTGAGATCACCCTGGTGACCGGTAACGACGTGGACTCCAGCCCCGCCCTCTCCTACTCCTTACAGTTGGACCCCATGGCCTTTGGCAAGTTTGGGATCCACCGTTTCAGCGGGGGCGTGTCCCTCACCGCCCCTCTGGACTTCGAGGAGAAGACCTGGTACACCGTCACTGTCAGAGCTACAGACAGCCAGCACCAGACTGAGGCCAACATCACGATACTGGTGGAGGACATTAACGACAACGCACCTGTGTTCACTCAGGACCTCTACCAGGTAGGTCCATCATCCAGGTGTTACCTAGGAACTGGACTGGTCTTCCATCTGAGTGGTTGGACTGTAGCTTGGTTGAATGTGTCTCATAAAGACAGTCGATTTGGACTGTGTTTGAGTTTTGTCTTTTTTTTTTTTTTTCTTTCACCTGATTAATTTTATGGTGAATTTAAATTGACTTCAGACGTTGCTCCTCCTCAGCGGTCTACATCGTTACGAGGCAGGGAACTGCACCGGCAGTTATGTACGTACAGCTGTAAAGTATACATGCATTAAAGTGCATGCTCACACTGGGGGTGATAAAAGTTAACTACCTCATATCCACCGGGGTGGGGGGGTGGTGGGGGGGGGGGCTGCAGAGATGAACCTGTGTTATTTTCACTGCCCTGATGCAGGAAATGACCTCAGCGTGAGCCCGAGTTCAGGAGCAGGAACAACAACAACATGACGTGCAAAGTTTAGTGATCGTTGACCTCTTCACCATGAGTTCAGGACATTTACTGCCGTGTTTATGTGCACCGTTATTTATGGATGATAAAGAGTTGGTTTTGATATTTCCTGCATTCCAGGTTACCCTGCCTGAGCACACACCCCCGGGAAGTGCAGTTATCACGGTAACAGCCACAGACCGGGACACAGGAGACAACGGAAAGATCACCTACAGAGTCATGTCCTCCACCCAGGACGGCTTCTACATCGATCCCAACAACGGTAGGACGTTTTTTTTATGAAGTTTGCCGTTGTAGTAGGTATTTGGAAGTAAAATGTGCTCTGCTTTCTTTCTTTTTTCTTTTTTTTTTTTTTTTAAGAAGTGGTTTTGCCTGCAGGTTTCACGTGAGCCCATAAAAGAGCAACTGCTAACCATATGTGGCCCACACAGTTTGCATTTTTTTGAAATGGACTGTTGGGTCTCTGCCAACTCCAGTTTTAATGAAAAGTGATTTTCAATTAAATTGTTGAACAATGCCTGACCCAGGTGCCTCGTCCTCTGTATCTAGGGACATTGTTCATCAGTCACAGAGCCGAATTTGATCCAGAGCGTCCTTCGGTCAGCATTGTCATTGAAGCTTGCGATGGAGGCTCTCCTTCCCTGTCGTCCCTGACGACAATCCAACTTCAGATCTCTGACGTCAATGACAACGCTCCAGTGTTCCATCAATCTGAATACAGGTCAGCCAACATTCATTAAACTCCTGGATGCTTCACAGCGTAACATCACCAGCTGTTCTTTACACGTGTAAACTTTTTCCGCTGCAGGGCCACAGTGTCTGAGGACACCATTCCAGGCTCCACAGTCCTGACGTTTGAGGCCTCTGACAGTGATCTCTCTCGAGAAAACTGTGGATTTGACTTCGCTATCGCTAATGGAAACGAAGGAAATGCTTTCCAGATAGAGAGCAGCGTGCGCTTCCTAGAGGGGCGGGGCTTCCAAACAGTTGGAACCCTGCTGTTGGCTGAAGGGCTTGACTTTGAGATCAAACCACTTTACAATCTCACTGTGGTGGTTTCAGACCGAGGCGTGCCCCAGAGGAGTTCTAGTGTCGCTGCAATCATAAGTATCGGTGACGTGAACGATAATCCTCCAGTCTTCAGCAGTGCTGAATATACCGTGTCTCTAAGTGAAGGAGCTGCTGCTGGGACTGAAATCATACGACTCACAGCTACAGGTGAGGACCGACTGGAGCCTTAAATGCAAAAACATGAACATTTCAATATTATATTTGATGGATTCATTCTTAATATATTTGAAAAGAGAACAGAACTGTTTTTGGTCTGGTCAGATTTTTATCGTCATAAACAAAACGTCATGAAATCGTCATCAATAGAAGATTCCATTTTCAGTTATCGCCATAAGAATGGGATATTTGCATTAGCATCTAGCCTCAACATACATGAAAAGGTGCTAGCTGTAGCTAGTGTGCTAATTTATGTTATATCTGCATCTGAGTTTGTTGTATTTTATTTTTTATTTTTTTCAGACCCAGACTCAACCCCGAATGCTGAGGTCCAGTATTCCATCAGTTCTGGTAATGAGGTGGACCTGTTCACTGTGGACCACTGGACCGGAGCGCTACGGCTACAGCGAACCCTTGACCGTGAGCACCAGTCCACACACGTCGTCATCGTCCAGGCCACAGATGGACACGGACACTTCTCTCTGGCGCCGGTGATTGTTGAGGTCAAAGACATCAACGACAACCATCCTTTCTTCCCTGTGGAAGTTCTGACTGCGAGCATCAGAGAAAACCAGCCGACCAACTCAGCTGTTACTGTTCTCCACGCCATTGACCATGACACCGGGGTTTTTGGACAGCTCAAGTACTACATGGTGGAACGGACCAGGGCGGGAAAAGACAGCTTCTCCGTGGACCAGAACACGGGGGAAATCAGAAGCAAAGTGTCCTTTGATTTTGAGAAGATTAACTCTTTTAACTTTGTGGCCATTGCTGTGGATTCTGGCAACCACACTGCCACTGTGACCGTGCAGGTCTTTGTCACCGGGGAAGACGAGTACGATCCCATCTTTACTTCCTCAGATTTCAGTTTTGAAGTTCCAGAAGGAGCCAAGAAAGGCCAAAGCATCGGCCAGGTCCAGGCAAATGATGAGGATGGAGGTGTGGATGGTATTGTTCTCTATTCTCTTCCCACCAGCTCTCCATTTTTTGATGTGAACAAAACCACTGGGGTGGTTTTCCTGAAGCTGGACAGTTCAGGTGGCAGCAGTGGCAGCGGATCCAATCGGGCCAAGAGGGACACCAGGCTGATGACTCTGGATGTGAGAGCTCACAGTCCTCTCGACACGTCCCGCACAACTACAGCCCAGATCTCCATTGATGTAACCAACACCACCTTTGGCCTGGCTGCTGACGTGAACATTTTGTTAGTTAGCATCATTGCTGCTTCCCTTGGTTTCATCGTGTTGCTCGTGATCATGGCCGTGGTGGTGTTCCTGGTGAAGTCACGTAGGAAAAAGAAGGATCAGGACGCTGCTAATCGATCTGCCGCCTCAGGAACCGCCCTTCAGAAAATAGATGACTGTAATTCTGGGCCTGGAGGAGAGAGGATCTACCACCAGACGCTGCCAGGCTACACTTCTGACCAAGGTGGAGCCGGGGGTGCTCCTTACCCAAGAGGGGGCTCTTTGGATCCCTCACACTCCAGTGGGAGAGGATCAGCCGAGGCAGCAGAAGACGATGAGATCAGGATGATTAACGAGTATCCTCGCGTTGCCTCCATCACCTCCTCCATGCAGGAGCACATATCAGCCCGAGGACCAGATTCTGGAATTCTGCAGGATGCTGACCAGCTTTCAGATATTTCCTGTGAACCGGCAGCTCTGGAGGGCAGCACTTGGTTCAAAGGAAAGAAACTGGGAGGCAGTCTCAGTGGGACCTTGCTCTCTGGCACACTTCCAGTTTACAGGGATGAAGGAAGTGGATATCTGGGGGTAGGCCGTGGCCTCAACATTTCTCTGCCCAAGGAATACGCCTTCCCTGAAGATGGTAAACCCTCAGTGGACGGTTCTCTCACGGCTATCGTTGCCAGCGATGAGGAGCTCCGTGGAAGCTACAACTGGGATTATCTGCTCAACTGGTGCCCACAGTTCCAGCCTTTGGCAAATGTCTTCACTGAAATCGCCAGGCTTAAAGATGAAACTGCTCAGCAGAGCCAAAATCCTAGACAACCCTTCCAGCCCAAACCCAAAATGGACCCCAAACCTAGAATTGATCCTCCTCCTCTGATCACATCAGTAGCTCACCCGGGGGCCATGACAGTGCCTCCTAAAGTCCCTATAATTGGTCGGACTTTCCCCCACTTGGCTTCCCTTCGACGGTCCCCTATCAGTCACGAGGGGTCAATTTCATCAGCAGCAATGTCCCCCAGCTTCTCCCCATCTCTGTCCCCACTGGCGGCGCGGTCCCCCGCTGTCTCCCCCTTTGGAGTCACCCAAGGGCCCTCAGCATCCATGATCAGCACCAGGGAGCCCTCACTGGACCGGAGTCCTGATCACGAAATGAGAATATGATGTAAAAAGTAGAACTATTTAAAGTAGAACTTGAGGACAGACGTTTGTCTGATCATATGTGTTCTGGACCTTTTTCTCCGTCTTCTGGTAGAATATGTGATTGGAAGAACTTCCCTCGGTCGCCGCAGGAACACAGCCAAGTGGAACATGTGCCTAGGTTGACAGGACCAGCCCACCATTCCACAGTGACGCAGGTCTCCATGAACTGATCAGGATTGAGGGGTGAACTTCTTCCTCATCCCGCAGTCAGAGATCCCTTAGTGTGTAGATAGAAAAATGTGTACCTTCCATGTTACCTCGCTGGCGGGCCAGGGAGCGGAGGACCTTCTGTGGTTGTGACCGTGGAGACTTTTACACTCCAGTATTAAACTCTTGTGGTGGCTGCTTCCAAGATGGCTGCGGCTCAGGTGAATGAATCCCATGGACGACTGAACAGATGGGATGACAGAGGTTGAAGTGTTACAACGTTGCCAATGCATCACAGAGAAGATGCACTTCCTCATCAACACAGACCACTTTACTTTTTGCTTTTCCGCCTTTGTTTTTGTATATTTTTATACGATTCCAGATTTCCAGAAATGCCATTATTACTCCACGTGCAGAGGTTATTGTTTTGGTGTATTTACATATATGTATATTTGTGTGTATGCTGACCACGTTATGTACTGTATGTGTGTGTCCTGTTTTTTTTTTTAGATTTCTGTGACAGTTCTGTTGTGAATGAAGGCGAAACACTCGTGTTTTTAATCATTATTTATATGAACAGACCTTTTTTTTGCCCCGTTTCAAAAGTAGGAAATTAAGTGCAGCTCACACTATGCCGTGTTGATAGCTAATGTTTTTTTTTCTTTTTTTGTCAAATTGTAGATCTCCTTAAACCAATGACGAAACCTTGCCAGGATCCGCTGAATGCCTTTTCACTCTCTTCTATTGTAATGTGCATTAATACCCCACAGCGCACCCCTGTGGTTTTTTCAAGGGATGGCTAAATTACCTGATCACCTCTGTGTCTTTGGAAAATAAGTGCTATCTAATGTCACTTATACGAGTCATAAACCTAAACTCAGATTACTGTGAAGTTGTTCATCTCAGCTATAGATTGTGTATAAGAAATGGACTCATCCATAGAAGCAGTCGTGATGGAAGTGAAGACAGAAGCTAAAGTCTCCTTTTGCTTCTGTCGTCATGTCTTTGCTCAAATTAAGATCCTGTTTGGAGGAAAATAGGAAACAAAGCACCACTGGAGTAAATGTAGTAGCAGACAATGCCCCCAAAAATACACACTCTCCACAAAGAGGCACTACAAAACAGATGTCAAAAATAAATTATTATGGTGTGTCGGCGGTTGTCATCAAATGTTATTACAGATAGAAATAGACCAAAAAGAGGCGTACTGTATTAACATCTGTCAGAAATTATTTTTATATATTAATTGGATGCTGGTAAGATCTGGTTTAATTAAATCCAGTTTTGCAGCATGTTAATTTGCTTTTGTTTTCAGAAGTTTTGCTGCAAACTTATGTATTAACATCTGTCAGAAATTATTTTTATATATTAATTGGATGCTGGTAAGATCTGGTTAAATTAAATCCAGTTTTGCAGCATATTAATTTGCTTTTGTTTTGCTGCAAACTTGTCTTTTACATAATCCAGGTCGGAGATTTTTTTTTCTTCACTGCAGACTTCCAGTTACATGGTGCTGTTCTAGAACAACAGTACGTCTCATTGACTTCAAAGGATGTGTCCATTTCTTGTACACGGTCCATCATCTCAGCACAATGACAGTTTTCTACCCTGCATTGAACAGGCTAATAGAAGTGGCATAACTTGGAAAAATGTAGCACATGAGCCAGACGAATGGGAAGAAGGAGCCTGAACGACGAGGTCTGATGAATGTACAAGGCATTTGGAACCCTGTGTTTCCAAAGCCTCTGCTCTGACCATTTTCTCCTCTCTCTCAGCATTCATATCGAGGTTTAGACGTGTGCTGAAGCAACTACATCGCCGGGGTTGTCACTTTTTCCGAAAATCAAATTCGAAATAATATTACTTGACATGCTGGACAACTGAAGGTACTCCAAAAATCTCTTTTGCCATTTGTTGCTTCCAACATTGCACCAAAGTTTCTAAATGGAGTTTAAGATTATTCTTGTCAGCAAAGTCACATTTCATTGAATTGGAGCTTTCTGTGAAATATATGAAAGCGGTGCAGGCACAGATGCATTAATGGTTGCCAAGCAACAATACATTGGAGGGTCTTGAGAATTTTTTTTTTGACCTTTTTCTACCACTTTGGTGTCCCCTCTCCTTGGTTCACACAGATGGGCTGATTAGCTTGTCTGCTAACAGAAAGACATCCTACAAGTGCAACATTCCCTCATCAAGATCAAATAGATTTTTCAAATTTGGAAAACTTGACGACCCAATGACGCAAAAGGCTTCCTGAAGGTCCTTTTCATTCTTCCACATCGTGCTTCTGGCCTGTTTTTAATCTTTCCGAGGTAATTGCAGATTGGATGTGTTTGTGTTTTCAAAATATGGCAACTACCTCTACTCATTGTTCAAAACAAGCCCTGCAAACTGACTCATGCAAAGCTGACACTGGTTCGTTTAAGAGCTACACATGCCATGAGCCTAACGCTAGCACAACATGTTCTCCACTCATAATCATGCCGTGTCAAAAACATTTTCTCTTTTGGAGAACGTCCATTTGGAGCCGAGTTCTTTTCGTATGCCAGTGACTGATCAGCGAGGCTATGACAGGATGAAGACAAAAAAAAAGAGCTGTATATGCATTCATGGCAAATAATAAATTCCTACTGATCTCTTTTGACAAACTGGAGTCAGATTTGCTTTTCTTTTTTTTTTCCAGAGTTTGAACCAAGACTCTGAGGGAAACACTGGAAAGTAATTAAAGTAGAAACAGTTCCAGTTCTGTGGACTGTAAGGGGTAAGTCTGTGGGTCTGGAGTGAAACAGTCACTTATGAAATGATTAGTGAAGAAAAAAATAAAGCACATTTGGTTTCGGGGAAGATCACAGTGCACCTTCATGAGGACAACAGTGCCGTTCTTCCAGTATGTGGTCACCACCTGGTTTTCTAAATCACATGCTTTGTGCAAATGCCTCTGGCAACCACTAATATTGTCGTAGCAATTACAGACGTTTACAAAGAAACAAGGGCTGCGGGATAAAAAGGAAAAAATGTGTAGGATAGAAGTGGAGGGAAGACAATGTTTTGAAAAGTAGATGAGTACATCAGTCTGTCGTAGACCTCATCAGGATGTCGTTGATTCTTCTGCATGTCAGAGAAGGTTGTTTATTGGACATGTTGATGGAAAACAGTAAAGAAAATCACTTTTCCTGGAAAGGGAACAGTAAGGAGTCAAATGTAAAATAGTCGAAACGAAGTCCAGATCGCAGACGTTAGAGGTAGATTAAACTACATCATTGTACACCACGAGTACAACGAGATCCTGCAACAGAAGATCAACAAGGCCACCTTTGTCCTGAAGGAAACTGGAGGCGATTTGAAAATAATTCACAATAACTTTAAAATTAAGATACGGTGGTGACGTCATATCGACCTGAATTTCCGTGATCAAAACAATCCAAAGAAAATCCCAAAACTTGCTCGAGGCATTTGCACATTTGAATCCACTAATCAACACTCGGTGATGGTGTAATGGTGTCTCTGTGTCGTCACGGCTGTGGGTTATGAGTTTGTGTCCCGTCTCATGCACTTTCCATGTTCTGGGTGAGTGGGAATTCTCGAGAGTACTCTGTGACCCACCGGTTAGTGGGTGTAAAATGTGATGCTCTTGTCTCCATATGGAGCAGGTGAAGGACAGGTGACCTTTCAGTCTTTTGTAGAGTGTCAGGAGTGGGCTCCAGTTCTAACAGGATGAAGCAGCAGACGTCGCACCGTCGTGATGGTGGAAGATGGATGAACACATGGATGAACCTGATGACTGAGAAACAACAGGTAAAATCTGGCAACACTGAGAAATCAAACCAACGATTGATACACGTTACATGTTCTCCCTGTCTCTGTGGGGTCTCCAGTTTCTTCGCATGGTCCAAAAACATGTTCATTTTGAGATTAGCTTCAATCAAACACCACATTTACCACAGAGGGCTGGGGAGGTGTGAACGGGAGCGTGAATGGTTGTGCTTTTCTTTATGTGGCTCTGAGCAGGACTGGAGAACTGTCCAGGGTTTTGCCCCTCGATTGTTCACAGCTGGGGTTGGCTCAACTCTTTGATCTTTGATTGTAAGGCAAGATTGCTAACCGCTCTACCACTGTCTGCCTCTTTGCATCTTCAGTACATATGTGGTCAATTTCGAGTGACCAACAATCCTCGGAGGAGAAAAACCACAGTCCCCAGTGAACAAACTCCACAGACTGTAGCTTTTATATTTACATTCTGAAGTTTGAAAAACAAACATCTAAGTGTTGGTTTTTATTAAGAGAAACAGCACCTGCGATCCCGCCAGGAACCAGTCAGCAGTGGCTCCAGTTCTCCGAGCTCATATAAGGACACCTGATGTTGATGTAGCTGAATAATTACAAAATGTTTGCTTCATATGGAGCACAGATATGTTTGCACTGCAGCCTGGGATTTCTGCCTCATTTGTTCATCACACACAGACATGCAGGGTGTGTGATTTGTCTCTGTTTTTGTTCTGTACAGAAGGAGCTGGATTTGGGATTTTGATGAGGTAGAAGGAAGGAAGGAAGGAAGGAAGGAAGGAAGGAAGGAAAGCTCCAGAGAAGCAGGTTTTGTAGTGCACGTGAGACACGCATGACTTCCTGGGAAATGAGAGCGGGAGAGAATGGCACATTAGAAATGCAAACAGTATTTAAACATTGAAACATGAACGTGATGTTCAGCTAATGAAAAGATTTAAATGTGTGGAAAATCTCTGGTTGAACGTCATGGTGGTTCCTGATGTTAGCAAGAGCTGAAATGACACGAAACATATGGACAATTGTGAGTTGGATTGACTTCTGTGGCACAAGTAACTCCCTTTTTTTTTTTTTTTTTTGGCCATTTGTCCATGTTATTCCAAAAGTTGATCGTTGAGCTAACTGTAGGTTGGTCTTAAATAAGCTCCAAATATTATATTTTTATATTATTGGTTAAAATGGAACAAAATAGACAAAGAAAGTAGTCAGATGATCTATAAATATTATTTGTTTTTGTTTTTTTTCTTTTGGTCTTTTTGGTTCTTCCATAGTATTTTGGTCCTGGGTTTGCGATTGCCAGAGAAACTG